AAAGGGCTCCATTGAGAGCTGCAGGTGTGAGAGTGAGACAGCAGGAGGAGCCAAGGAAGGCTCTGCCCTGCCAGGGTGGCAGAAGCAGCACAGACCACGTAGTATGCTGCTGGGCACCTGGCCCACTGTTTCCTCAGGTTTGCCACCTGGCGATGGGAGGAAGAAAGGAAACCTACTGTGGTCCGTGGTCAGACCCCTTTCCCCGTATTTCAGGTATTGCCACCCAGACCCATGTAATGGGCAAGGTGGGAAAACGACACACTGACAACACCCTTGGATACACATCATATCATATGCCAGCTGTGACGCCAGGAGCTTTATCCACCTTATTTCAATAGACTGTAACCCATGACAGTGGCCATGAAGTCAGTTTAGGACTTAAGACCCACATTTTAAAAAGAAGGCAGATAAAACTGTAATTAAGTAGAAAATACTCGAGAGTGTTCCACAAAGTCGTTTTGTATTATAAAACTTGCGTTTCGCTGGCATCCACATATATTTATTTATGTGTTCTGGATCACAGAGCAAAATGTACTCACTGAGGGCAAGGCTAAACAGTGTTGCAATACAGTTCCTTATCTACTTCATAACCATCAAACTGAGGAGTGCTCGGTTACCAGTTTAACAGAGAAAACAGCTAAAGCTACTTCTCCAACTTCATCTGTACCCCAACCCCGCCACTGCCCCTGCCCATGTGCCTGACATAGCAACTCCTTTCCGTTCCTCTTTCCTCCCTAGACCCTATGCTTTTCTTGAAGCTAGAACATTCTCCCGCTCCTCCCATAGCTCTTCAGGCAGCTGGCTCCTTCCACCCACCAGGTCTCAGCATGGGTGTCATTTCCCTTACAGAGACCCACCGGACCCCAGTCTGAACAGCCCCTGCTTCCTCTTCTGCTGCCTGCCTTCCTCTCCACAGCTCCAGAGACAGAGGTGACATCTGCTGTACCCACCAGTCAGACCCCGAAGCCAGCAGAGTACAAGCACAGGCAGGCCCGTCCCAACTGCCGAGTGAATGACAAAATGTCCCAAACCCCCATGGAGGTGAGTGAGAGCCAGCGTCCAACTCAGATCTGACCCAGGGCTTGCTCTTCACCCTGCACTGCACGGAAACTGCGTGTCACTGCCTTGCAAAGTGTCAGCACCCACATGTCCAACTCCCAAAGCCCAGGCCTGCTCCACTGTGCCACCTGGGCAATGAGGAGTGGCTCCCAGGGGCAGCTCAGAGTGGTCAGCCGGAAATCTGGAGAGGATATATGAATGCAGAGCCATTGAAACCTGTAGACTTAAGGAAGAAATTTACTAGTGACAAGAGAAAATACCAGAAAAAAACAGCTGAGCACAAGATCTATGCTGGAGCAGCCAGCTCAGGAATAAGGGGTGAGAAACTCCCCTAGGCAAGGAATATTCTGGGAAAAAACCAAACAGCCAATAATTCTAAGCAGCAATAAATCCAAGGCAGCAACTGTGCAGGGGCCATAGAGGGCCAAGGTCACAGGAACTGCCCTTTAAGGTGCCTCCCCTGGGTAGTGTTAAGCTGTGATTCAGAGACAGAGGAAGGACTCAGGGGCCTCAGAAGGCTCTGTGTAGGCTGGAAGAGCTCAGAGAACGGGCTACTAGGACACTTTGACAACACTGCCACCTTGTGGCTGTAGAACGCCTGGCCCACGGGAAAAGGTAGATTGATTCTTCAGCGCCTCTTGTGGAGCACCTTTTGAGTCTAGCTGCTGGGGCTTGGAAAGGGGTCTAACTTAGGGGCGGGGATTTAGCTCAGTAGTTCCAGCGCCTGCCTCCCAAGCGCAAAGTCCGTTCAATCCCTGGTACCAAAAAAAAAAATGGTTCTGAAACGGATCTAGCTTGGCTCTCACCTTCAAAGACCTCTGCCCCTACATCCAAACAGTGATCAAACCCTTCCCTTTTTATCTCTTTTCATAACTTCTGTGTCTCCTGCTGCTGACCCAAACAGGCCAAAGGGCAAGGATGGCTGGCATCTTACTCAACTCTGAAGCTACTATACCAACCATAGGGCCCAGAACAGCAGAATAGCTGCCCCTATTTAGTAAGTGGCAAGTCCTTCTGAGTAAGGCACTCACTGGATCCTCACATTGCACCTGTGAGGCACCCAGAAAGCCTCCAAATGCAAATGTCAGTAGGTGTTTAGTTCAGTGTGAACTAGGAGATTCTTGGAGAGGCCAGGGATGGAGAAACAAAGGCCAGCATTGCTTTTTTGTTGTTGTTATTGTTATTGTTTTGAGGCAGAGTCTCACCATGTGGCCCAGGTTGGTCTCAAACATACTATGTGCTCATGATAGCCTTGAACTTGTGATCCTCCTGCCTCAACCTCCTGAGTACTGGAATTACAGGCATGTGCCACCACAGCTGGTAGCAGATGGTGTTTTTTATTTAATTTAATTAATTAATTATTTTTATTTTTTTCTGGTACTGGGAATTGAACTCAGGACTTTGCACTTGCCAGGCAGGTACGGTGCCACTGAGCTACATCCCCAGCCCAGGTGGTGTTTTGTTTTTTTTTTGTGCCAGGAATCAAACTCAGGTCCTAGTGCTTACTTACAAGGCAGGCGGCGGAACCACTGAGCTAAACCCCCGGCCCTCCAGGTGGTGTTTTTTAAAGACCTGTGCCTCTCAAAGTTTAATGTGTTTGTGACTCACATGGGAATTTTTGCTAACACGCAGACTCTGATTCTGCAGTTTGGAGTAGACCTTGGGATTTGGTTTCTAACAAGCTCCCAGGAGATGTTCATGCTGCTGAGTAGTAAAAATCTGGGACAGATACTGACAAACTATGACCAGCATGTCACATCTGAGCCACAGCCTATGTGTGTAAAGCAGCTAGCCAGGAGTAATATTTTCAGAGAGGTGGAGAAGGAAGAGGAGATGAGGAGGAGTTTGAGGCCATCTGTGCCTCACGAGGCCTAAAATATTCCTCCCCCTTTTTTTTCAGACTGAAGACTTACCCAGTGAACACTAAGATACATTTCCCAGCTCTTTTTTCAAAATTTTATTTAAGACAGGATCTCACTAAGGTGCCCAGGCAGGCCTGGAACTTGCAATCCTCCAGCCTCAGCTTCCCAAATGGCTGGGATTATAGATACGCACCATGCACGAAGTTACTCTGGCTCTTTACCCAAAAAAAAGTTTGCCAACCTCTAATCTAGAAAGTCACCCAAAGCCAGGGTGCACAGCTGAACAAGGGAGAGACAAGGACCAAGCCCTGAAGCAAACTGTCGTGCCTTCTAAATCCCAAGGCCTAGTCTGGGCAGGGAAGGCAAGAGGGCAATGCATGGATGCTAAGAAGCCAGGGAAAGAAGAGCTCCTGTCAGAGAGTAACAGGTGGGCAGGAATGGCGCTGGGGGGATGAGTCATGGAGACTATGGGATTCGGAGCAGGAAAGAAGGTCCTGGCAAATCATGGCCTCTTTTGGAGTTCATCTTGGAAAAGATAAGTGGAAAGACAGAGCGATGAGCAGCACTATTTGTGTGCAGTGCAGTACAAGTACTATAAAAATAAATAAAAAGGAAACCTTGGGGATCCCATCTGAGCAGCAAAACCTTCTAAATCTGGCTGAGGGTGAGGAAAGGAGGTGGAAGATCTGGGAAAGGTAAAAGAAAGGACACGGCGGCAAAATGATGGCCCTGGAGCCTAGTTTGGGGGCCCCTCCAAGTTGTGTTTAACTACAGTGCCTTTTGTCACACTTCTGCCACCCGTGTGAAGGAATACACTTCTTAAATGTCACTGCCTGAGAAAGTAAATATAGCTGTCCACTTCTGTCAACACAAACTGATGAAGCTGGCTCCCTTTCAGGGAAGACCAGTCTGCTTTGCTTTCTGTTGTGAAAGGTCTGCTTGTCTCACATTTGCAAAGGACAACAACAGTGCTCATTCACGGAGGGGGGACGGGACGGGGGGGACACAACACACAGACCACACAACAGACTTTTCTATAAAAGAAGACTACAAGGCAGGGCAGAATATCTGCAAAGCCACACCGTGAGGGATGAGACAAAACACCAAAAACATCTCAGCTTCCGGGCTGGAAAGAACCATTAAGTCAACTAGGCTACCTATAAAATCTAACTGTCTAGAAAAAAAAGTGTATGCTATGCCTGGCTTTGGGGCATGGAATACTCTTTTTGGTAAATTAAAAAATGCTTGCAATCAAAAACAAGTCTCTGCCTATTACCTATGAGTTCCTGTCCTCAAGCCCATCCTGCTTGATCACGCTGCTTATTGCCCCATCAGAAAGGGGGTACCTCTGGAGGAATGACTACTTTTGCAATACCCAGTATACTGCCCGGGTCACAGTCTAAGAGTGTGGTCAAGTGAGACCTTAGTCTACTCAAAGTTCTCCTGCCACCTATGGGTTGTGTGATTTCAGACAAGTTACTTAGCCTCTCACAACCTGATTCCTCACTAGGTGTGGTGGTAAATACCCGTAATCCCACAATCTGGGAGATTGAGGCAGAAGGATTACGAGTTTGAGGCCACCCCGAACTACCTAGCAAGACCCTGTCTCAAAAACAATATTAAAACAAACAAAAAAACCTGTCTCCTCATCTGTAAAGTCCCATGTAAAATATTTGGCATGCTTGTTAGTACAATGAGAGTTTAATAAGGTGTTGATAATTATTTTCATTCAGTTATTAGTTATGAATCTATTAGTCAGAAGCACATTTCCTCCATGAAACGTACACCAGCAAGGGTTTGTCACCCTGAGCACTATGAATAATAGTTCTTTGCTGTGGGGCCTGCCCTGTGCATTATAGGTTTCCCAGCAACCCTGGCCTCTACCCACTAGGTGTCAGCAGCATGGCATACACCCCAGCTCTGATAACCAAAACTGTCTTCAGAGACTGATTGCCAAATGTTCCTCAGAGAACAAACCCTTGAATATGCAAAGCAGAACTAGAAAGTCTGGTGACCACACCCTGGTTCCCACCATGGTGTCCTCCCCACACTGCAGCCACCTCAGTGCCACTTGCTCACCACTCAGCTGCCTTGGAGGGAAGAGGTGATAGGTGCTGTAGATGTCATTGGAGAACTGCAACTGGAGCTCAGGGCTGCCCGTCAGGAGCTGGGCCACCTGCTCCACCTGAAACGGTGTCTTCTCCAGGATCACAACAGCATCCTCTCCATCCCCACCCCCAGAGTCCTCATTCACCTGTGGGCAGAGACACCATCAGTGAGGCCAAGTGCAGAGCCACAGGTGAGGCCTGCAGAACAGAAGCAGAAGCTCCCAGGGCCTGCGACATCCCAGCACTTGGGATGTCCTTCCTTGCAGCCTTCCTCTGGGGAAGTCTAACCAATGTCATGCGTGTGCTTCTCTTAGACAAGATGTCTTAATCTGAACCCTTGTGGCAACCCTCACATCTTTCTTCCAAAAGACACAAATTTCTCAGCTATCTTCTACTCCGGTTTAGAAGACCTCTGCCAAACTCTCCCCATTGTAGAAAAAAAGGTGAAGAAACTTGAGAGCTATAGAGATTAAGTGACTTGCCTAAAATTGTGCCAACAGTTACTATTGAAACAGAAACTAGAATCCAAGTCTCCCAGCTAACTCAGCTGGAAGGCTGTCATGTGTAACAACTTCAGCAGGTGATGCACACTGAAGAAAAGTGGGGCTGAGAACACCAGACAGGCCCTTGTAAATAAAGACAAGAGACCCAGAGAGAGGCACAGAAGCCTCAGCCCCGGATTCTTCCAAAGATGTGAGCTCCTGCTAGTAGTAGTTCTGGGGAACCCCCAAAACATTCATTGGCTAGGCCACTTCACTAGTTTGGGATGGTCTCCTTCTCTACCTAGCCCTTTGCTAGACAGCTAAGCACATGGTATTCAAAGTCAGTAAAGTATCTGTTTCCACAGACATACCATGTAGTCATGAAGATCAGGAGTGATAACTCTCAGCTCCATCTCAACACTTACCCCCCACTTACAGCATACATGAAAGTATTGGTAGGCATGAAGTTAGGTTTTGACAGGCCTGATGGACAAAAGGGGTGGGTCCAAAATGGCATTCCTTGTCAGGTAAAGAAACAAAGATGCTAGTGTACAATACATTTACAGTAACTTCTTAGGTCTTGAACACTGAGCACAATGACCCCACAGAGGACAATTACACATTGTATACAGTCCTTCTGATCCCTGGCTACCTGGCCAGCTAACTCCAGAATAAGGCATACCGCATTCCTGGCTGCCATAGCCTACAGCCCAGTGATATCAGGAAGAGAAATTTTCTTTAAAGACTCTCCTTCCTTGGGATCTGACCTGGTTTAAATTTAATTACCTTTTGTAAGTTTCTTACATGATTAAAGCCCTGAGAAAACACTGACAACGGAAAAAGGTCGGGAGAAATTCTGCAACTTCTAGGTAATTTCTAAGTAAAATGGTGATAAGCATAATTACCCCAGTTCCCTAACACCCAGGAGTAACTCTTGGGTGCATAAAAATGAATCCGAACTTGCACTCTGTATTTACTTCACAATAAATTCTATCTATACTTCTGCACGGCCTTGTGTCTTGCCAGAATTCTTTCACCAAGGGAAAAACCGAGGACTAAGGAAGTGAAAGGCCAGCTGCTCACCCCATTAGAACCCGGCTTCCTGGCAACAATATGTGAAACTGGACTAACAATTTAACAATCTCTAGTTACGCTGAAATGTAAAGCAGGGATTTATCTCTTTCAGTCGCAACGTCATCTCCAGGCCAGGGCCGAAGAAGACATCCAGCAACATTTACTGGATTCCTAGCGCCTTTATATATTGAAAGAATGGTGATAAAGGGCTTGAGGAACTTAATTCGAATTTTTTTTTACCTGATACACTCTATAAAGATTACTGCATATTTGTAGGGAAGGAAAAATTGGGAAATTAAACCCAAAAGTATTCATTCCTTTATCTCATGGGCAATCCGGTCGCTCTATGTACAGCCCCCACTCCCCGCCCTTCCCCATCACGTGATTGGTATTTTCCCCTTGGGATGAGAAAACTCCGCCTCCGCGGTGATGATTGGTTCCCTACTCCCGCGTCCCCACCCTCGTTTGCCCGGTGGTACCTTCCCGTGTAGGAAAATGATTTTGTCCCTCGCAGACTCCCTCAGCACTCTTTGCACTCTGAAGCCGGAGAATGGTAAATAGACGGGGGTAAAAGTACCATTTCCAACACCTGCTTCCTTTTCCTCTGTGCTAGGAGCTTCTACATCCTCTGCATCCAGTTCGCGCTTTCTTTTGGGTTGCAGCGGTACTGCCTCCGCCATGCTGCCCGGCAGGAGCTGTGCGCCTGCGCGTAGGGGCCACAGGCTCCGCCCATAGGGGGGAGCGCTTCTCCTGACCAGGCGGGGCTACAACTCCAACTCCAACTCCCGGCGTGCATTGCGCCAGCGGGGCTGCCATCCCAATTTCCGACGTACTCCGTGCCCTCGGATTTGTGACTCCAATTCCCGGCGTGTTTCGCGCAGCCGGGGCTGCGACTCCAATTCCCGGCATGCTTCGCATCGGTGGGGCTGCCACTACAGTTTCCGACGTTCCCTGCGCCGCCAGATCTACGACTCCAATACCCGGCGTACTGAGTAATCCTGGGGCTGCGACTCCTGTACGTCGGGTGCTTCCAACGGATTCGTTGGGTCTGCGCGCGCTTTGGAGCGGATCTCACTGACCTTGCGAAGAAGCGGGTGTAATCCGTTGCAACTCTCACCCTCCACAGGCTGAGAGAAAGGAAAAGTCAGGCTAGCGGTTGTGCCTATTGAATATCCCCCCAGGAGGGTCCTCGGGGAGAGAGCCGGAAGACCCTCCTTGCTCCTGTCACTGTTGGACACCTTGTCTGAATACTGACTTTTTGAAGCCAGTTACACCCACGCTGAGGAATGACTGTGGAATGTTTCTCGAACATAACTACCAACCTACTTTCTTAGTCTTTTTTTTTGGTACTGGGGATAGAACTCAGGACCTTCCGCTTGCAAGGCAGGCGGCGGCGGCACCACTAAGCTAAATCCCCAGCCCCTTAGTCGGTTTTTTATAGCAAGTACTTAAGCCATTTTTCTCCCATTTTTGTTATTTTACAAAAAATTTTGTGATCAGTGCTTTATAGATTTAGCACATTTTGCTGAAAAGAAAGGTAGGCAAACAGGCTAGAGGTAAACCTCGCGTGCAGATAAACGTGCTCAGACACTCAAACACGTACACCTGACTGGAAGCCTACCACTATGCCTTTGTTTCTGCTGTGGTATCCGGGGGGTGATTTTCTTTTTTCTTTTTTCCATATAAGACTTTCAGTTGTACTTTCTGATTTTGTAAATTTCTTTTGTGTCCATTTTTCTGGCTAGCCCGTTTTACTTGGTGTTAGTTGACAGATTTTGTCAAGATTTGTTACTTGCATCAAGTTTGAACCAGACAACCATTTTTGCCAATGTTTTAAATTTATTTTTTTAGACACCTCTATGGGTGTGAGACAACCTTTGCAGTTTTCAACATTAGCAAGAAGCTGCAATTTTCAGTCAGCTTTTGGTCAGTAACAGTAAACTGTCATCCAGTTTTAATAGCAGATTGATTTTTGGATTATTTCTACCAGAAGCATATATTATAAACTGGATGAGACATTGTTTTGTGAAGCAGAGGACATTTTTAGGGGGACTTAGAATCTGGAATAATTATCTGCAGCGAAAAACATTTGTCACTTGTCTACAGGTTTCCTGGAGACATTGTCATCTTACAGGAATATACAATAAGAGATTATAACCTCTATGTAAGACTAGAACAAAATACTGTACCTGAAAGGCAGATGGCATTAACAAAACTTGCTCTACTGTAAGGCCCTATCTTTTGAAAAAAAGTTCTGCATTTTTTTCCAAATCAGAAAAATGGAAATTTGCAGCCACATATAGGAAGAAAGTAAAAATTCAGACTCAATCCGAGTGGCAGATAGAGTCTGAAAAACAATGGAGTAAAGTCAAAAACAGATACAATTTTCTTCTGAATTCCAATTTTTCCTCTCTGCCAACCCCCCACTTTTGGCAAAGATAACATCAGTAGGTCCAACATATTTCAAAATAAATTTAGTCTTGTTTAAACTTGGCCTGATCACTTTATATAAATACAGCAAGAATAGCAGTTGAATGGAGGTGCAGTGGCACACACTTGTAATAGCAGCTACTTGGGAGGCTGAGGCAGGAATATCACAAGTTCCAGGCCAGCCTTGGCAACTCAGCAAAACCTTGTCTCAAACAATAAAAAATGGGCTGAGGAGGGCCGGCGATTTAGCTCAGTGGCACAGCACCTGCCTCACAGGTGGAAGATCCTGAGTTCGATCCCCAGTACCAAAAAAAAAAAAGGGCTGAGAATGTAGCTCAATGGAAAGTCATGGATTTAATCTCCGCTTTCCACTCCCACTCTCCAAATACAGTTGCAGGGCTGGAGCTCTGGCTCAGTGCTGGAGCAGTTGCATAGCATGCATGAGGCCCTTGATTCAATCCCAGCACTGCAAACAACAAAAGACTGCAATTGCAAGGTTATTGGTTTGGATTAGGAATTGTTTTTTATCCTGGCTGGAATGCAAAAAAACCAAGGAGGCTTGGAAATCAGTACCAGATTTTCCTTAACTTTGTCTGCAGGTTTGATCAGCCAGCATGGGTGAGAGATAACCTTAAAAATAGCTTTTAAAATTATTTGCAGTTTTTCTGCTTTTTTCTAGTCCAAATGCAGCAGACAAAGCATCTCTTCCTTGGGTTTGTCAGGTAAACAAGCAAAGTCTGCAGATTCAGACTAAAACTTATGTTTGTATTATATTTAAGCTGGTAGATATGCCTATTTTAATTAAACCAATAAATTAAGCTAGTCTTATTTGCCAGAGGTTTATCCAAGTAATCTGAACTGGAAAAATGTTTAGGTTACTTTATAAATGCTCATATATTCTAAGCCATTTTGAATAGAAGAGTTTGTATTATGTAAATGTAACATGTAGTCTTTTTTTTGGTACTGGGGATCGAACTCCTGACCTTGCGCTTGCACTGCAGGCACCGGAACCACTCAGCTAAATCCCCAGCCATTAAACTTTTTTTTTTTTTTTTTTGGTATTGGGGATTGAACTCAGGTCCTTGCGCTTGTGGAGCAGGCAGCGGAACCACTGAGCTAAATCCCCAGCCCCACAAAGATTTTTTTAATAAATTTTATTTTATGCCATCCCCCCCCCCACCAAGCACCCTCTCCTCCCTCTGTACACAAGCTTTGTTTCCATTTTTTCCTTCTATTTTCACTTTTTTTCTTGTCCCTTCCTTTCTCCCTCCCTCCTCCCTTGTTCCTCTTCCCATTTGAACACCTTCTTCCCATTTGCCAACATCCATTATACATCTCAGTCCTTATTTCTTTTTGTTTGTTTGTTTGTTTGTTTGGGTACCAGGGATCGAACTCGGGTCCTTGTGCTTGTGCAGCAGGTGGCGAAACCACTGAGCTAAATCCCCAGCCCATCAGTCCTTATTTCTACATTCACTTTCTCACACCAGAGAAACAATGTGGTATTTAAACATGTGTGTCTGATTTATTTCACTTAATATGTTCTCAAGGTCCATCCATTTAGCAATGAATGTCTGAAGCTCATCTTTCTTTATGGCAGAGTAGTACTCCATTGTAAAAAAAAAAACCACATCTTTATCCACTCATTAGTTGATGGGCATTTGGACTGTTTTCAAGCTTTAGCTATTACAAACTGTGCTGCTATAAATATGGGTGTGCATATATCGCTGTGGTATGATGTTTTTAATTCTTTTGGGAAGATATCAAGAAGAGGTATAGCTAGGTCAAATGGAACCTCTAGTTTTAGTTTTTTGAGAAATCTCCACATTGACTTCTACAGTGGTTGCACCAGTCAGTCTACACTCCCACCAACAGTGGAGAAGGGTTCCTTTTTCCCCACAGCCCCTTCAGCATTTGTTATTGGTTGATTTCTTGATAGCAGCCATTCTTTCTGGAGTGAGATGGAATCTCAGCATTGTTTTAACTTGCATCTCTTGAATGGCCAATGATGTTGAACATTTTTTTAATATATTTGCCATTTCTAATTCTTTATCTGAGAAGTGCCTTTTTATTTCAGATGCCAACTTTTGCATCGAGTCTTTAAATTTGGGGGATCTCATTTTTTTGGTTCTTTATATAGTCTAGATAATAGTACTTTGTCTGAATAGCTGGTAAAAATTTTTTCCCACTCTGGGTTACCTCTCTCCTCTGTTGGTGGTTTCTCTTGCTGTGCAAAAGCTTTTAAATTCGATGAGGTCCCAGTTGTTGATTCTTTGTAATATTTCCAGTATAGTCTGGGTTTTGAAAAACAAAGATCTTGTAGCTTTTATTTTAAAATTTTAGGGGCAGGGATTTAGCTCAGTGGTGCCACTGCCTGCCTCACAAGCGCAAGGTCCTGAGTTCGATCCTCAGTACAGAAAAAAAAAGAAAATGAAAAAAGAAAAATTTTAGTCATGAGACAGATAAATAGCATAAATGAATTTGTAAGATAGAGGGAAAGTTTTCCTCCACTTTCTGAGAGTTCACTGGAATAAACTGACGAGACTCATTGAAGAGACATTTGAGGAAGTAATCACAATGTAGTTAACCACTGGCTCAACATGGTTCAGAAGCATGTATACCCCTTTTGGTAGGAAGAGGGAGATGGGAGCATGGAGAATGTTTGGCCCACAAAACAGACCATGCTATGTCAGTGATTCCCACTGAGATCAAACTGGAAGTGTGTCACGTGAAACATGTCCAGGTGTGTTAACAGAATTCAGATTTTCTTGCTGTGATAGGAGTTTAGTCTTCTCTGCTTAATGAAATTTCAGTGGGATGACTAAAAGCAGTTGTGCACCTCCTCTTTTGAGGGATTTGGAATAAGGCAGATAAGGGAACTTTGCAGAAAGCTTCTCTGCAGTGCAAGAGGGAGAAATGGAAAATCAGAGGGCTCTTGATTCTGAGGTAGTAATTTTAAGACCTGTCAGCATGTCAAAGTAGTCTCGGGGGAATTATTTTCTTTTCTTTCTTTTTTTTTTTTTGATACCAGGGATTGAACTCCAGACCTTTCGCTTGTGAGGCAGGAGCCAAAACCACTGAGCTAAATCCCCAGCCCAGGGGGGATTATTTTCTGAGCCCCAGTAGACTCAGATTACAGTTTTGTAAGTTAGGAATACCTATTTACATTATTAAAACATTTTACTAATATTACTGGAAATGACCTTTAAGCTTTTTTATTTGTTCAGTTTTTAAGTAGTCAAAAATCCTTCCAACAGCCAGGCATGGTAGCACACACCTATAACCCCAGCACTCTGGGAGGCTGAGG